GGGGCCCTGCTGTAAAAGATTCTTGAAGGAGATTTCCTTCGACTTTTCGCGAGCTCACCTTTTGTCTCAGCGTTCACTAGGCTTTTTTTTTAAGTAACACTTGCATGCGTTTCTGATTTTCAATAAAATTTTAAGCACAAGCTTGAAAATGTTTTTGAGGTGTTTTTAACACCGGAGCAATGGGATTTTAATTGATTTCCACTCACGGTGGAATTTATCCCCCCCCCCTTTTTTTTCCTGGAACGACTGGTGCACTGTGACTGCGCGGCATGAGTTTGCAAGAGGAAGTCGGTCGGCGAGTTTCAAGGAGTCGCCCGCCCTCATTTCATATTCCCTTGATTCTCTCCGTTTCCAATCAGACGAGCGGTTCGGCCGGCGGGGCCATGTCGCCATGTTGCATCTCCATATTGGATGTCCGGGAGATGGTTGGTCTGCTAAACGGCAGTAGCTACACCCGTTAAAAATTTACCTCATTTTACTTGCCTCTGTTATTTTGTGAGTCAAGTAAATGTGATCACCTTAAGCTATTTTGAAGAAAGCTCGTTGAACATTGAGCACTTTGTGTTTCCCTCTCTACTTCAGTGATTGCAAATAGAGCTGATTCGTGTTAAATTTTCAGCATGTTTCAGCACTGTGTCTGCAGTCACCTTGGTCCTCAAGTTTCCTGTTTGTTGACCCGTTGTGCTGTGCATCGCAGTCGCCGGGTGGAATCGTCTGTAATCTTATCAATCGACTACGTTTTAAGAGTCCTCATCCGAACAGGAAAACTGTGAGGACACTCCAATGTCCGTTTCCTGTTCGTTGGCCGCTGTTCTAAAAGTGCAGTGTCCCCTTCCTTTAAAAAAAAAAACGACCCCTGCGTCATCTTTGGATGAGGTTCTGTTTTTATCAACTAATTAAAACGATTCCTCCTAGGGGATCCTACAGCAAAGAAGATGAAAAGAGCAAGTACCGAACAGTGTTCCTTCGAAATGCAACAGGAAAATTAGTACAAGTGTTCACATTGCAAACTTTTAAAAGGGCTCCTAGGGCTCCTAATAATTTCTGTATATTCCTAATAATCTAGTTGCGCCCATTGACGTCGTTAAACGGAAGGAAAACAACAGACTTTCCTTATTCTCCGTTCAGAGTCCTTTCGGTATTGATAGCAGAAGGTTCTGACCGGGGCACCTTCACAACACAGCGATTCACCAGGAAGGATTATTTTTGGAATCGAGGTCAACGGACAGGAAACTCATTGGAGAGCCAAGATCTGATCGGCCCCCAGGACTGCCGTATAAATAAGCCGTCCTCTGACTGACGAGTTATACACCACCTTCTACTTCCTGAGCTCAGAGCACCGCCGACTCTCATCACCATGAGGACTGCAGTTCTTCTGTCGCTGCCGATTTTGGCGGTATCCGCCTTTGTGGTGCCCGCTGAGGACCTGAGAGAGAGAAGTAAGTCCCGTCCAGCTATTCAGTCATGCTTTCTTAGTCGAAACAAGCACGCTCCTTGTAAAATAAGATTCTTACAGTAGTAAGAGATAGGTAGATCCTCTGAAAACGAAACAAGTACAAATCAAATTTGAAGTGCCAAGTGAGCTTGTTTTTGAATGAACTTTGGTTAAATGTGGTCATAACACGTGAAACTGTCACAAACAATACTAATCTTAATCTCAGGCTTTTGTCTACCCACCTTTCGAATGCATTCCGTAGTGAGTGCCCAGTAGGGTAATCAAGAGCTGCGACATGATCTGATCAACGCTACCCAACGATACCCATTCTTATTCTTTGTTCTTGCTCTTTAAAGGTTCTATCTTCGTCGCTGCTCCTGCAGTGGGCGCGTGCAACCCTGGCCAGTGCAGTTCCTTGTGCTTCAGGGAGGGTTACGACACTGGCAGCTGCCTCGGTGACTTCTGCCATTGTACTAACCGCGCACGCCTCGACTCGGCTCCTGAAGTGGGTTCATGCAACCTCGACGAGTGCACTTCCTCGTGCATCAGGAAGGGTTACGAAGGAGGCAGCTGCCTTGGTGGTGTCTGCGGTTGCACTCAGCGCACACGTGCCGACTCAGCTCCTGAAGTGGGTTCATGCAACCTCGACGAGTGCACTTCCTCGTGCATCAGGAAGGGTTACGAAGGAGGCAGCTGCCTTGGTGGTGTCTGCGGTTGCACTCAGCGCACACGTGCCGACTCAGCTCCTGTAGTGGGTTCATGCAACCTCGACCAGTGCACTTCCTCGTGCATCAGGAGGGGTTACGAAGGAGGCAGCTGCCTTGGTGGTATCTGTGGATGCACCCAGCGCACACGTACCGACTCAGCTCCTGAAGTGGGTTCATGCAACCTTGACGAGTGCACTTCCTCGTGCATCAGGAGGGGTTACGAAGGAGGCAGTTGCCTTGGTGGTGTCTGCGGTTGCACTCAGCGCACCTAGAGTACCAGTACCAAAGTTAAGACTTGGTGTAGACTGTTTGTAATTTTAGTTAAGCTTGAAATATATCTTACAGTTACAATTGGAAATTATTGTTTTTGTTTGTTGGCACTCTATCTCTTTCGATGAAGATGCTCTTTAATGGTTGAAATTTGACGTTCCATCTCACTCATTCACTCCCAACTCGCGTACAAACGAGTCCATTTCGCGAAGAGGAGGAACCATTTGTCAATCCTTGACGTTCGTGACTCCAGGATATCGGGGGGAAAAGTGCATTGACCACAAATTCATTTGTCATGATTTGCCGTTCCTCTTTTACCCTCTGTAGTAGGTTTAAAAGGTGCCAAAGCAATACTCGGACTGGCCTCTCCAAACCTTTTACCCAACGGTCAATCGTGGCAGAGGCAAGGAAAAATGGGGAGTGGAGAGAAGGGGGATAGAGATAGTGTTTGCAGCTGAATGCAGCATCGTGAGGAAAGAGCATCGTAATGGGGAGATCATGCTCTACGACGACTAAAAGGCGAAGAGCGGGGGAGGCTTGCTAAGAGGAATGGAACCGTTATGACATCTGGAACTCCATTAAACTGCACGTTTTGTCGTTGTAAGTGGATTACGAGTCCAGAGAGCCCCACGGCAGGGGGACTTCCACAAAAAGTCAACTTTAAGTTCAAGGGCGTTCGGACAACTGTTCTCAAGGTGTTCTCTGCTTTCAGCATTTTTGCTGAGAGGCAGAACAGTGACGTCTAACCACGGAAAACATCGGTTGCAACCTTAAAGGAAGGAGGAACTCAAACTTGTGCGTGAGAGGATGCCCCTCTTCTTCTTCTTCTTCTTCTTCTTCTTCTTCTTCTTCTTCTTCTTCTTCTTCTTCACAATCTTCGCCACCATCAATAATGGACCTAAACAGTTTAAGTCTGCATCATTACCAAGGGCGTGGCGGGGTGGCAAATAAGATGGCTGTTACTAATTGCTCCAACTTGAGATGGAGTGCCCCCCAGCCATCACGTTACCGCTAACTATTTTTCTTCCATCCCTCCCAACTCCTCGCCCGGGCACCTCCTGTTCCGCTGCCGGGCCGCCGTGGCGCCTCGCTATCTGTGCATCTGCAGGCCGACGGCAACTAGGCGGCAGTGCTGCATCCTGTACCGCCCATTGCAGCGCGAGTCTGGCGCCACGGGACGAAACTCGAGACGCGTTTTGAGCTCCAGAGTCGCTAAACAGGACTAGAACCAAACGTGTGACCCCACCAATGGATTCCTCTCCGAACGAGGAATCCATTGATGGGGTCACACGCTCTGTTCGAGTGACATTTAGCGACTCTAGAGCTCAAAACGCGTCTAGAGTTTTCCACCTGCGCCGTTCTTCTGGCCCACTGTGAGGCGCCCCCACTTGACCCACGTGCTGTTCCCGACTGCGAACAAGACGGCGTTTAAAAGAGTTTCCATCGCGATATGCAGGGGGCTGCGCTGCTGCGGCTACTATCTCAGTTCCGCTGAGCACGGAAATAATATAGTGTCTCGGCAATTTATTTATTTCATTTCGCAGTGGAGCGTGGTTTCTCTGCGGAAGTGAGGCGACCCGTCTTCGTTGCTTACACTGGACCCTAATTCGTCTGCAGCATGCGCCACAACCGCGCACACACAGCTTGGCCCTTTTCTTTTTCACCTCATTATTTTTTGTACATGCAGGATAATATCACGGGACTTGCCACTGTGAAACTTGGTGAAATTAAAAACGTGATGTTGCAAGTGTGGGATGAAAAAACTGCCGCGGAGCTCATTTCAGTTGCGGAAAGAGTTGCCTTGAGTTGCAGGCCAGACGACCGGTGGAGGCGACCGAGAAATCCCGGACGAGATTTGAGCTTCAGAGTCGCTAAATATGACTCAAGCCGAACGTGTAACCTCATAAATTGATTGCTCTACGAACGAGGAATCCATTGGTGGGGTCACACGTTTCGTTCGATCTCTGTTAAGCGACTCTGGAGGTCAAAACGCGTCTAGAGTTTTGGCCGCCTGCGCCGGTCTTCAATCCACTGTGCATTGCGGCCGAATTAAGGACGCCATGAAATGTCCACGGGCATTTCGAGTGCACGTATCGCCTCCCCCCCCCTCCCCCCGCCGCCATTTAATTGAATTGACGGCATCGAGGCTCTGGAGGACTGAGGGACATCCTCAGGGACTCGCCGCGGGGGACACGGAGGGTCGGGCCGGGTCGCACAGTGGGCCAGAAGACCGGTGGAGGCGGACAAAGCTCGAGACGCGTCTTGAGCTCCAGACTCGCTAAACAGGCCTCGAACCGAAGGTGTGACCCCACCAATGGATTGCTCTCAGAACGAGGAATTCATTGGTGGGGTCAAACGTTCGTTTCGAGGCCTGTTTAGCCACTCTGGAGCTCAAAACGCGTCTGGAGTTTTGTCCGCCTCCACCGGTCTTCTGGCCCACTGTGGGTCGGGCAGGCAGGAAGAATGGAGCGGGAAGTTCCAAGGGGAGGGGGCGCTTGGCTGAGCGGTCCGTAGCCTAAGGGGTAATACGGTTCAGGGGTAGTAAGGTGGGAGAAAGGGGGAGGTGTTGGTCGAGAGACCGGCTGGGCATGAAGCCAGGAGCGAAGGGTGTCGCCTGTGTCGCCTGGGTCAGCCAACTCCCCTGAACGGATGACCAACTCCAATGCGGTCCCATCGCAGCAGCCCCCTCCCCCTGCCCGCCTCCCCAAGTCACTATCACACCTCGCCTATAGCCGCAGGTTACACGAGCCAGCACACAGTGAAGACCGGCCAAAATTGTAGACGTGCTCCGAGCTCCAGAGTCGCTATAACTCAAACAGAACAAGTGACACCACCGATGGATTGCTCGTTCGAAAAACAATTCAGCGGTGGGGTCACATGTTCGGTAAAGAGGAAATCAACTCAAGATTTTTATCAACATTGATCAAAAAATTATTAAAATTGTAGATAAGTTATTGATTACATGTGATAAGTATTGATTATTTGATTATTATGAAGTGATTGTTATGAAGTGACCCTTATACTTATGCACACACAAACGCGCGCGGGCACACACACTCACACACACCCTCCCTCTTGCCAACTCGCATAACACCGATCCTCTTAAACACATTAAGTGAAACATATACGCTCATTTCAAGTGTAAATACTATTCCGATGCGAAAAGCAGTCTGTTTTGCGGATTTTGTTTCGCGCTGCTCTGCCATCGGTTTTGTCGCCGATGCTGGGATTTCCACCCGTCCGTATTTTGCGCGGCGCTCCGACTCAGCCAACTTGACCGCATAAATACGCAGTGGCCGATCTATTCCGGCATCGCAGCTGACAGTGAGGTGGACGGGCTTCTCGTCATCCGGTCGCGACTGACAGTAAGGCTTGCCACTCACAGTGGGCAAGAAGACCGGTGGAGGCGTTCAAAGTCTCGGACGCGTTTTGAGCTCCAGAGCGTCGCTTGGTGGGACCCGAGACGAACGAGTGACCCCACCAATGGATTGCTCACCGACCGAGGAATCCATTGGGGCCACAGGCTCGGTTCGATTCCCATTTAGCGACTCTGGAGCTCAAAACGCGTCTCAAGTTTTGTCCGCCTCCACCGGTCGTCTGGCCCACTGTGCCCCCCTCGAGTCTGACGTTCCCGCCAATCGGTAAGCATTCGGAATGAGGCAGCGCGGACGCTGCAAACGCGATTCCAAGTTGAATTCTCTCAGGACGAAAACGGAACGGGGGCCTGACTTTTGGTCGCAAGGCTTTCTGTCGACGCGTTTCCACCGCCGCGTTTGGACCGGTGCCAGGTCTGCGAGCAAGGCGGTGAACGACCGACGCGACCTCTGTCGCCAGGTGAGAGCGTGCCCTCTGTTTGATGATTGATAGAGTAGCGCTCTTCGAGGTGTGAGTCTATCCTAGGAAAGTAGACGCAAAGCACCGCTTAGTGGGCCAGGACCGATACCAGTGGAGGCAGTCAAAACCCGGAGCTTTAGGGTCGGTAAATAAGACCAGAACCGAATGTGTGACCCCACGAATGGATTGCTCTCCGAACAAGGAATCCATTGGTGGGGTCACACGTTTGGCTCGAGTCCTGTTTAGCGACTCTGGAGCTCAAAACGCGTCCTGGATTTTGAACGCCTCCACCGGTCTTCTGGCACGCTGTGTCTGACAGCGAGACAAGGTGTTACACTCTGCGCCGCCACTGTTTGTGTTCTAGTCGAGCCAATCCCCTTCCATAATCACGTGTCACCGTGAAGTCGGAGCCCGGACTGACGGTGCGAGAACCTGTCAAAAACTTTTTCCACTCGCGCCTGCATTTTTTTTTCTCTCTTTCTGAAAGTTGCTCGTTTTTTTTTCTCCTTGTCGATCTTCCACGATCGCTTGCTGGAGAAGTGTCAAGGAGGGAGGGGAAGTCCACTGGAAGGAAGCACTTCTCGAGTTAGAATGATGCGCAGCCAAACACCTCGCTGGCACACTGTTAAAAGGGGAAATTGGAGCGGGTGGAGACGGCAAAAACTCAAGAAGCATTTTGATCTGTAAAATCGCTTAGAAGGGCTTGAACCAAACGTGTGACCCTACCAATGGATTCCCTGTTCGAAGAGCAATCCTTTGGTGTGGTCACATGTTCGGTTCGAGTACTGTTTAGCGACTCTGGAGCTCAGAACGCGTCTGGGGTTTTGACCGCCTTCACCGGTCTTCTGTCCCATTGTGGAGCCGCCTCCTCCACGTCACGTCGGGAGCAGCAGACTTACACTGCACAATCTCAGTCGGCGGCGCGTGACACGATATCACAACTCTCTGCCAGTTAGTGTTGGCGCCAAATTTGAAACCTTTGAGCAAGTTTTTGCGAGGCGCGCGTGTGCACGCGTTCCTTTGCGAGACAACAACAAGTCTGCCTTCCTCACTCACACGCCCCTTCAAAGTTTGTCCGCGCGTCTGGCCGCGTCTCGCTGCGCGTCGCGTCGCTGCTCCAGGAGCGACACTGCAAAAATTCCTGCTGCTCGCGCCAACAAACCCGCTCGCGCATAAAGGGGATGATTCAATTTTCGCACCGAGTTGTCTTGGGCGAAAAGTGCGCAATGCCTTTCATCTGGCACTCTGCGAAAA